GGGTGGGTTGGGAGGTTTTTCCCGGTTAATCTTTGCCAGGTTTACTCACTCTAAATCCCCTTGCATTCCCCGATAAGTAAGCACACCCAGCTGAAATGGCCAAGCCCTTGTTAAACAGTTGCGACGCAATACGGACTTTCAGATAACATCACAACAATGTCATTGTAAAGGGAATTCTATTATATTAAGCTTAACTGACGGAAAAAGCCTCTCGATTTCACCTTGATAAGGTTTCTTAATCATCCTGTTTACAATGTTTCACCTACAAAAAAAGTAAGTATTAAACCTATACTATTTCGATATGGAAACTTTATTGAACAACGCAAAACGTTTTTAAAAATTGTTATTGATACGTGTGTCATTTATAATTTATGCTGTTTCCACGAAAGTCTCCTGTTATTGTAAAATGTGTCGGCTTTATGAAACGCTGTCAATGAAATATCCACCCAACATAGCCTACCTCTCTTAGTCATCACGGAAGTTGTTTACTCATCATGAAGGATCCGAATTTCCAGGTACACTTGTGTAAGCAAAGCCGACGCACAATTTGAACTAAGCGGTTCAGTCATATTTATACTGGGACTACTTTTGGGCTGTGAATTTTTTTCTTGGCTGAAAAAAAATGTTGTTGTTATTTTCTTTTCTATTCTTTGGCATTTATTGGAGCCTCAGCTCGGTCCGACGTCGTATCCCTGGGACAGGTACTTAACACGAATCTCCTATCTAATCTGGCTCATTCCTCTCGGAGACAGACGTTAATTAAACCCGGGGGTCCCGCTTCTTGAATAACCTTCTAATGTTGACAGGGGCGTAAAACCTTTACCTTCTCACATGTGACCCTCACAGCTTACATCTGGCAGAAGGTCTGCATAAGATGCGGGGTGGGTGAAGACGTGTGAAAACAAAGAGGCAGATGCTGGGATGTTTCACAATAATTATGTGAGGCACCATCATCCAGAGCCAGATCTGCGACAGACATCGGCGATCATGGTTCTCCATTCAATCTTTTGCTCGGGTGCTCTTTAAAAATAGCTACTTTTCCCTTATCTTTTCCTGTTACCCATTTGTTAGGTTCACTAAATATGTTGCTCTGGGCCTACCTCTGCCTCGTTTGCCTTCAATTTTGCCAACGAGAGCTAGATGTTCATAACTTTTATGTCTATTCAGAAGTCCCCCAAAACAGCATTTGTCGTTTCCTGATTATTTTTAACATTGAGCGTCCCACGTGGGCTTCACCAAACACTACCTCATTTGATTTCTTGTCCTTCCACGATATTGTGAGACATGGTGAAATCAGGCAGCCGTCAAAATAATAAAACCGGAGAAACCGGCATTTGTTTTCCGCACGTTGACTAGTTTTTATCAAGTTTTTATTTAGAGCTCTACACCTTTTGTGTCCATTTAAAACATATTCCTGTATACATTTTAGGGAAAACGTTGCCCAAAGGTATACACATCTGTCTGCAGTTTCCAGAGAAAGTCAAGCTTTGGAAATCACCAAGCTTTGGTGGCTATTTTTCGCAAGTTTTGCCCCTGACACCAGGCAACCCCGCATCTTTCAACTGCAAATGTGTAAAATAGATGGGTATTTTTTTCATAAAAAACAAGACAAATGAACAAGCTTTAAGATAATACCAATACCCTCATAGGCCCCAAAACTGACGAGCGCCCGATTTTGTGGCGTCTTGACACATATCGCAACCCCAGAATTACAAAGTTCTGTCAGCTCACTAGATCTACCTAGGTTAGAGAAATTGACGTACAAAATTTGGAGTTTGACAACATGTCAAGCTATTTTAAATGTAATTTTTTGAATATCTTATCTTGATACCGGTATTCGATAATGACTCCGAATGTCCTTATGACTTTGATAGAGCAGACAGATCATTTCGTTTTTTACCTCATGGTCTTAGTAACTCAAAACGACCAAAAAGTCAGAGAGAACTTTGTAATGCTAAGGCAGTGATATAAATTTATTTTAATCTCCCAGTTGAGCGGTATAAGTTGCGTGGTTGGTTTCACTTTGTTGTGCTTCATGATCACAGGACTCCATCCCTGACGCCGGTGAACGTTGGATGACCTCCGTGGCAACACATAGCCCAGTGCTGTATGTTTTAACCTAATCTGCACGCCCTCAGGTCATTTTGTACCCCCGGGGTTGTATTCTTCACATTTTAGAATACTTCTAGTACGAAAATCTCTTTGATACTTTCAGTATTTCTTAAAAAATCATTTTGACAGACTGCTATGCAAAGCGTACGGATCGGATGAACGAGTAAATTTCCTCTTTGGAAAGTGTTGGCATGGAGTTTTTCCCCACGTCGTATGGATACGATAGTAAAACTTGACGCACTTATAGGGTGAACGTTTTAGGCAAAAGATATTCGGAGACGTCTCCGGCAAGCACCCAGGAAATATTCGGAGACGTACTCCCGCACACAGATGCACTGCTTTTTTTTTTTTTGGGGGGGGGGGGGGGAGGTCAAACAAATTGCGTATTATTTGTTGCAGACCACACATAATATAGCCACTAAAACTGAGGCATATCAATTATGTTCAAGAAAATTTCAAACCTAACAGCAAAACATCAAATTATAGGTTGAAACAGGGGTGGGGTGGGGGGTGGGGGGCGCGGGGAGGGCATGCCGCCAGATGTTTTTACTTGGTCCAGAGGGACAAAGCATTTTGACTGGTCAATCTCCGTCAGAAGGTCTCCGGATAGATACTGTGTTTTAAAGTGACGGTCCGGTTGGTTGATGCCACGAGTGGTGGGGCTCGACCGTCGAGACAGCGATAAGTCGTGACTCGTGACACTACTCGTCTCGACAGCTATAGTAATCCGTCAGTGTTTTAAGACGCTCGAAACTCC